GCAAAAAAAAAAAACCAAACAAAACTAATTTGAAGTAAAGTCTTCCTGGAGTTAGGACCCAACAAACCCCTCACACATTGACAATGTTCTGTGTTAAAAATGCATATGCAGGGGGCCTGGAGCCATAGCACAGCAGGTAGGGCGTTTGCCTTGCACACGGCCAACCCGGGTCTGATTCCCAGCATTCCATATGGTCGCCTGAGCACCGCCAGGAGTGATTCCTGAGTGCGAAGCCAGTAGTAACCCTTGAGCATTGCCAGGTGTGATCCAAAAAGCAAAAACAAACAAACAAAAAATGCATGTGCAGGGCTGGAGCAATAGCACAGCGGTAGGGCGTTTGCCTTGCTGAGCCTGGCCGACCCCGGTTTGATTCCTCTGCCCCTCTCAGAGAGCCCAGCAAGTTACCTGTGATGTATTCGATATGCCAAACACAGTAACAACAAGTCTCACAATGGAGACGTTACTGTGCCCACTCGAGCAAATCGATGAACAGCGGGAGGACAGTGCTACATGCAGGGCCGAGAGACGGTATGGTGAGTAGCCATTTGCCTTGCCCAAAGCCAATTCAGATTCCATCCCAGACATCCTGTATGGTCCCTCGAACACTGCCAGGAGTAATTCCTGAGCCCAGAACCAGGAGTAACTCCTGAGCATCACTGGGTGTGACCCAAAGTAAAATAAAATAAACAACCAAAAAAAAAAAAAGACATAAAAATGCATTGACTGCCTAATCCAAGGGCCAACTTTAAATGCGTTCAGACACTGACGCTAGCCTCCGTTTGGGCAGAAGTACCTGTCTGTGTTTCGTTTGTTTTCTTTTGGGGGCCTCTCACTGTGATGTATGGAGGTTGTTCCCAGTGGTGCCTGGGAGACCTGCAGTTCCCAGGATTGAACCTGGGACCGCCTACACACAAGGCATGGGTCCCGGGTCCTTGCTCCGTCTCTTGTTGAGCCTCAATACAGCCCAATTTTATTTATTTATTTTCACACCTGGCAGTGCTCAGGAGTTATTCCTGGCTCATGCACTCAGGAATTACTCCTTGTGGTGCTCAGGGGACCATATGGGATGCTGGGAATCGAACCCAGGTTGGCCATGTGCAAGGCAAATGCCCTACCTGCTGTGATATCGCTCCAGCCCTGACAGCCCAATTCTAAACCAAGCTTTGAGTCCCTCCTGAGGCTTCCTGGGCAGCGAGAAAGCGTTCTGGGTAATGGAGATGTTAGTGCTCACAGCTGACACAGCCTCAGCTCCGTCTCTGCAAGCATCTGGGGTTTGTTCCAGTCTCCCTAGCCTGGGCAAAGATCAAAATGAATCTTTTATTCATTTAGAAGTTTCCAATAAAAGGTTCCTCTCTGAGGCCAGTATGTTTCTACTTTTGTACCATTGTCAAGTTGGGAATTCTTTGAGTCAGACCATCCGAAGTCAGGACAGTCTCACGTGAATGGGCGAGTCCTGGCTCCTTGGAATGTGGGAGGCGCTGAAGCTGATACCGTCCCAGGTGAGGCCATTTCAAACTGATTAAAAAAGCAGATCTGGGTCCAAAGGACAGTTAAGGGGTAAAGCACTGGCCTTGCATGTGACTGACCCGGGTTCGATCTCCAGTTCCACATCTGGTCCCCTGAGCACCACCAGGAGCAAAGAGTAATCCCTGCGCACTGCTGGGTGTGACCCCAAAACAAACAAAATTAAGTAGTTCCTATGAAATTTATTAGGGCTGGAGCAATAGCACAGCGGCAGGGCATTTGCCTTGCATGCGGCCAACATGGCCGACCCGAGTTCGATTCCTCCGCCCCTCTCGGAGAGCCCGGCAAGCTACCGAGAGTATCTCGCCCACAAGGCAGAGCCTGGCAAGCTACCAGTGACGTATTCGATATGCCAGACACAGAAACAACAAAGTCTCCAATGGAGACGTTACTGGGCCCGCTCGATGATCAACAGGAGGGCCTTTACTTTACTTTTACTTTATGAAATTTGTTGAAACCCCAAATCATTGACTTATTTCTTTTTATTTTTTAAAATTTTTTATTGAATCACTGTGAGATAGAGCATTACAAAATTGTTCATGATTGCATTTCAGCCATACAATGTTCCAACACCCATCCCTTCATCCATGTAATTTTTTAGCACCAGTGTCCTCAGTTTCCTTTCCACCCCTTCAAACCACCCCCCACCCCAGCTTGCTTCTATGACAGGCACCTCTTCTCTCTCTCTCTCTCTCTCTCTCTCTCTCTCTCTCTCATTTTAGGCATTATGGGTTGTGATACAGATGCTGAAAGGTTATCATGCTTTCCAACACTCAGTTCTTATCCAGAGTGATCACTTCCAACTAGTATTGTCATAATGGACCCTCCTCTATCTTAACTACCCTGCATCTCCCACACCATTGACCAACCACTGACCAGTCCTCCTGGCCCGTTTTCTCTGGCATTGGATATTAGTGTCATACTGTTTTGATTTGTTTTTATATCCCACAAATGAATGCAGTCATTCTATACATCTCTGTCTCCTTCTGACTCATTTCACTCAGCATCCAGGAATATATATAAATATATATATATATATATATATATATATATATATATATGTTTGCTTTTTGGGTCACACCCGGCAACTCACAGGGTTTACTCCTGGCTCTGCAGTAAGGAATTACCCCTGGCGGTGCTCAGGGGACCATATGGGATGCTGGGAATCGAACCTGGGTAGGCCGTGTGCAAGGCAAATGCCCTACCCGCTGAACTATCGCTCCAGCCCAGGTCTATCCACTTATAGGCAAATTTCATGACCTCATTTTTCCAGTATTGATTTATTAAAAACAAACAAACAAACAAAAACAGAAGTTTGACAGATCCCCAACCTTGGGTTATTTGTTCAAATAGCCAGGAAGGCACCAGCGAGGCAGACAGCAGCTCTGTTCCACAGAGGCAGGCAGGGGCTGTCATCCTGTGCGCTTGAGTCAGTGCCAGAGCTGTCGCTGAGCGAGGGCCTTGACATGAGCCTTGGCCTCTGGCTGGCAGAGCCCGAGACCCTGGATCATGTGGTGCCAGCTTGTTCCCCGAGCATGGGTGAGCTGTCTACACAGTGGGCTGTGTTGGAGGCTCCTGGTCCTTGAGGATGGCCCCTGGGGCTTCCTGGACCCTGCCCTCTGCCCCGGCGCATGTAACCACGCAGTCCTGGCATTGTTGTTGAATCTTCTTCAGGCCCTTCCTGTTGTGCTTCTTGGCGAATCTCCTAGTTCTCGGGAACTTGGGGTCCACCCCATTGAATCCTGTCTTAGTTTCCTGAATGCCATTTCTGCGCCATTTTGGGGACTGGTGTGCATCTCCCCAAGTGCTGGAAGCAGGAGAGAGAGGAACAAGGACTGGGTTGAAAATAATCGGGTTTAGGGCTGAGCCATAGGACAGTGGGGAGGGCGTTTGTCTTGTAGGTGACTGACCTGGGTTTAACTGCGGCGTCCCATCTGGTCCCCCGAGCACCACCAGGAGTGATCCCTGAGTGCAGAGCCAGGAGTATGCCCTGAGCATCACTGGATGCCCCAAAACAAAACAAAAAAAGAAAATAATTGGGTTTTAAAGTTGTTTTTGTTTGTTTGGGGGCCACATCCAGTGGTGCTCAGGGGCTGCTCCTGACTTAGTGCTCGGGGTGACACCTGATCCAGCTCAGGGATCACTGAGGATTAAACCTGGGCCTTCTGCATGCCACATCTGTGCTGTGCTTCTCCCATTGAATATTTACTCTGTCCCCAACTCTCTTAATCTCTCAACTGTCTCTCTGACCTTTTTTTGTTGCGATTTAGTGCTTGAAGAAACTGGATTGTTGGTTTTCTTACCTTTTCTACAAACTGTGTATCCTTAAAGAGGTGCCGCAGAGTTTTTCATTTTCAGTCCTGTGATGGTTGTAGCATCGTTCAACAACTGGACTTCATCCCTGACACCTTTCATTGACTCTTCAGATCGCCAAGACCACATTAGTGTTTCACTGCTGTGTTGCTGTCAGGGGTGGGAGGGTTGCGCCCACATCGCTGTGCCAATGGTCACTAGGTCACACATGGGGCAGTGCCAGATGTCCAACCCAGGGCCTTGGGCACGCAGAGCATGTACTTGAATTGTAATTGCTGTCTTAAGGCCCCGGGAAGACTAGTCATCAATTTCTCAGCTGAAACCAGATAAAAGTCAACATCGGTAGGAGAATAATTTTACATTTCTCTACATCTAAAGCTTAATAGATCCGTGAATGAGAAACTTGGCCTACTACAGTGGAAGTCAGGTGGGACAGACCCCAGTTGACTGTCTTCATTTGCTCTATGGCATCACTCAGGCTGGCGGGCTGGACTCGGCATCAGCAGATTAAAACATTCACACAGCTGGGGACCAGAGCAATAGCACAGTGAGTAGGGCACTTGCCTTGCACCTGGCCTACCTGGGTTCAAACCCCGGCATCCCATATGGCCCCTCAAGCACAGCCAGGAGTGATCCCTGAGTGCCGTAAGGAGTAACCCCTGAGCATCGCCGGGTGTGCCCCCCCCAAAAAAAACAAAACCAAAACCAAATTCATGCAACTGCAAGCATGACTGGCAAACGAGGTCTTAGCCCCTGGCTGGAGAGTGAATGTCACTGGAGTTTTGATGGAAAAGCAGGAGGAGGTACACTCAGACAGGACCCCTGCCTCCCTAGCAGCTGCCGGGCGGTCATTGGGAGCGCCCCATGTACCCCAAGGACGGCAGTGGCTCTGTGACTTCTCTGATGTCTAATTATTGGGTGGCGGCAGATATCACTGACGGAATCTATTCTTGGCTTTGCCTGACCATTCTTCCTCCATGATGTCAAGTTTTATACATGAGCATTACTATTATTATTTTTTAACTGAATTGAATGTTCTCATTCTCTCTCTCTCTCTTTTTTTTTTTATTTAGCCTAAAGTAAACTTGGAAGGATTCGAGCCTTTAGAAATGTCAGATGGAAAACTTCCTTTTATATATTCTGCTATTTTCCCTTGTTTTTAGGAGCTGGGAAGCCAAACTGCAAAATTGCTATTGTTTTGGGAAGAACTAAAAACGCCTCTGTGAGCAGGTAAAAACAAAACAAAACAAAACACAGTGACAGAGAAATCTGGGTAGGAGTAAGTTTTTCTTTTCTCTGTCCCCACTTAGTGTATGTCATGTACAAGCTTTACAAATTACAGTCACTAATCACTGTATCACTGTCATCCTGTTGTTCATCGATTGCCTCGAGCAGGCCCCAGTAACGTCTCCTTCGTCCTAGCCCTGAGATTTTAAAAAGTGCCACATTCGAGGCTCTTTCGGGGTCAGGAGAATGAGACCCATCATTGTTACTGGTTTGGGGCATATTGAATACGCCACAGGGAGTTTGCCAGACTCTGCCATGTGGGCAGGATACTTTTGGTAGCCTGCCAGGTTCTCCAGAGTAAGACTAGATAATAAGATGTCCGGGAGAAGGGTTTTATAGTCTCTGGGTCTTGGCCGTTGATGGGATTACATGACGCCGGGGGCAGTTGGTGGGTGTAACGCCTACATACTGGAGGATGGGGGATCTGGGTGGAGGAGGCCCCAGTCCCAATCCGAGCAGGCTTGGAGACCTACGCCCCGGGTCCCACACACCTGGGTTCCTCTGCTGGTTTCTTCATGCGTGAGGCTCGTCCGAACGTGTGGAGAGTGGTCTTAAGCATGGCTGTGGCTGGAACCGGAGGTCTACAGCTGCCAGGGCTCTGTTCGGGGCGGGGAGGGAAACTCAACCCACTCTCCTCCAGGGGGCCTCGGTGAGGACAGCCAGGCGGGGAGGCAGGAGACTTTGCACTGTTCTCTTCCGGGAGCAGGGTTTTATAGTCTCTGGGTCACCAATAAGATAGGAGATTCACTGTATCACTGTATCAGTCATCCCATTGTTCATGGATTTCCTTGAGCAGGCACCAGTAACGTCTCCTTCGTCCTAGCCCTGAGATTTTAGCAAGTGCCACACTGGAGGCTCTTTCAGGGCCAGAGGAATGAGACCCATCATGTTACTGGGTTTTGGCATACCAAATATGACACGGGGAGCTTGCCAGACTACCATATGGGCAGGATACTCTCGGTAGCCTGCTGGGTTCTCTGAGAGAGAGAGAACTAGACAATAAGAGGTCATGCAGCTGCAAATGCGGCCGCACATTTCCGGAAACTTGGTTTTATAATCTCTGGGTCTTGGCCATCAATAGGATTACAGGGGTTAGAATGTGTTTCTGAATCCTCAAAGTTCTTTGGATCAGATTATAAGATAGACACAAATGGTGGTGGATTGGTGTTGGAATATTGAATGTAATGAATTATTGTGAACAACTTTATACTATTTTTTTAAAAAAAGGCATACTTTTTTCTTCTTTTCTTTTTGGGTTACTCCTGGCTCTGCACTCAGGAATTACTCCTGACAGTGCTCGGGGGATGCTGGGAATTGAACCCAGGTTGGCTGTGTGCAAGGGAAACACCCTACCTGCTGTACTATGGCTCCAGCCCCACAGCATACAGTTTTTCAGAACTGCCTGTGATTCGATGTGTAGCTCAAAGGCAGTTGGTTGTCTGAGACATCGAATCATGTATCTGCTCCCTGTTGATGGATGAGAGGCCGCAGGTAACTTCCCTGTCATCTCAGGTCATTGCGATGGTCAACCATGCCTGGGTCCATCTCTTGGTTCCCATCCCTGACATCGGCCCTACAGGGTGCAGAGATCCCCGTGGGGACCTTCCATCCCGACCCTGCCCAGTGTCTGCTGTGTTTCCCGGCAGTCTTGCTCCTAACATCTGTTTTTCCTTTCACCAGGCATCAACAACACACGATGATTCTTGTTCCTCTCAACACACCTGGAGTGGAAGTTGTCAGGCCTTTGTCTGTTTTCGGCTACCTGGGTAGGTCCTCCATCCACGCAGACACGTGTTAGCTGTCTGGGAGCCGAGGCCAGGCCCTGAAACGAGGGGACGGCTACTGTTTTTCTGGCAAGATGGGAGACGTGTTCTTGGAAACCCTTTGGCCCTGGCAGCTCTCTGGATAGACCTGCCAGTGGAGTTCAGAGCGAATGAGAAGAGAAAGACAGTTTTTCTCCCCGCTTTGTTTCCCTGGCAGGAGGCAGAGCAGCTTGGCTAGTTTTCTTTCTATCCTCCAGGAGGACAGAATCATCAAAGAGAGAAATTAGATCTGGATAATCCACAATCAAATTCATTTTTCTCTCCATGTTTTCCTTCCTTCCTTCCTTCCTTCCTTCCTTCCTTCCTTCCTTCCTTCCTTCCTTCCTTCCCTCTCTTCCTCCCTCCCTCTTCTCTCTTCTTCCTTCCTTCTCCCTCCCTCCTCTTCTCCCTCCCTCCCTCCATCCCTCCCTCCATCCCTCCTCTCTCTCCTTCCCTCCCTCTTCTCTCTTCTTCCTTCCCCCTCCATCTCTCCCTCCCTCCCTCCCTCCTTCCCTCCTTCCTTCCTTCCTTCCTTCCTTCCTTCCTACCTCCCTCCCTCCATTCCTCCCTTCTTTCCTTCTTTTCTCCCTCCCTTCCTCCCTCCCTTTCCTCTCTCCCTCCCTTTCCTCTCTTCCTCCCTCCCTTTTTCCCTTTCTCCCTTATCCTTCCTTCCTTCCTTCCTTCCTTCCTTCCTTCCTTCCTTCCTTCCTCCCTCCCTCCCTCCCTCCCTCCCTCCCTTCTTCCTTCCTTCCTTCCTTCCTTCCTTCCTTCCCTCCTCCTTCCTTCCTCCCTCCCTCCTTTCCTCCCTCCCTCTTCTCTCCTTCCTTCCTTCTCCCTCCCTCCTCTTCTCCCTTCCATCCTCCCTCCCTCCCTCCCTCGCTCCCTCCCTCCCTCCCTCCTTCCGTCCTTCCTCCCTCCCTCCTTCCTTCCTCCCTCCCTCCTTCCTTCCTCCCTCCCTCCTTCCTTCCTCCCTCCCTCCATTCCTCCCTTCTTTCCTTCTTTTCTCCCTCCCTTCCTCCCTCCCTTTCCTCTCTCCCTCCCTTTCCTCTCTTCCTCCCTCCCTTTTTCCCTTTCTCCCTTATCCTTCCTTCCTTCCTTCCTTCCTTCCTTCCTTCCTTCCTTCCTTCCTTCCTCCCTCCCTCCCTCCCTCCCTCCCTCCCTTCTTCCTTCCTTCCTTCCTTCCTTCCTTCCTTCCTTCCTTCCTTCCTTCCTTCCCTCCTCCTTCCTTCCTCCCTCCCTCCTTTCCTCCCTCCCTCTTCTCTCCTTCCTTCCTTCTCCCTCCCTCCTCTTCTCCCTTCCATCCTCCCTCCCTCCCTCCCTCCCTCCCTCCTTCCCTCCTTCCGTCCTTCCTTCCTCCTTCCTTCCTCCCTCCCTCCTTCCTTCCTCCCTCCCTCCCTCCTTTCCTCCCTCCCTCTTCTCTCCTTCCTTCCTTCTCCCTCCCTCCTCTTCTCCCTTCCATCCTCCCTCCCTCCCTCCCTCCTTCCGTCCTTCCTTGCTTCCTCCTTCCTTCCTCCCTCCCTCCTTCCTTCCTCCCTCCCTCCCTCCTTTCCTCCCTCCCTCTTCTCTCCTTCCTTCCTTCTCCCTCCCTCCTCTTCTCCCTTCCATCCTCCCTCCCTCCCTCCTTCCGTCCTTCCTTCCTTCCTTCCTCCTTCCTTCCTCCCTTCCTCCTTCCTTCCTCCCTCCCTCCTTTCCTCCCTCTTCTCTCCTTCCTTCCTTCTCTCTCCCTCCTCTTCTCCCTTCCATCCTCCCTCCCTCCCTCTCTCCCTCCCTCCCTCCCTCCCTCCCTCCCTCCCTCCCTCCCTCCGTCCTTCCTTCCTTCCTCCTTCCTTCCTCCCTCCCTCCTTCCTTCCTCCCTCCCTCCTTTCCTCCCTCCCTCTTCTCTCCTTCCTTACTTCTCCCTCCCTCCTCTTCTCCCTTCCATCCTCCCTCCCTCCCTCGCTCCCTCCCTCCCTCCCTCCCTCCTTCCGTCCTTCCTCCCTCCCTCCTTCCTTCCTCCCTCCCTCCTTCCTTCCTCCCTCCCTCCTTTCCTCCCTCCCTCTTCTCTCCTTCCTTCCTTCTCCCTCCCTCTTCTTCTCCCTTCCATCCTCCCTCCCTCCCTCCGTCCTTCCTTCCTTCCTCCTTCCTTCCTCCCTCCCTCCTTTCCTCCCTCCCTCTTCTCTCCTTCCTTCCTTCTCCCTCCCTCCTCTTCTCCCTTCCAACCTCCCTCCCTCCCTCCCTCCTTCCGTCCTTCCTTCCTTCCTCCTTCCTTCCTCCCTCCCTCCTTCCTTCCTCCCTCCCTCCTTTCCTCCCTCCCTCTTCTCTCCTTCCTTCCTTCTCCCTCCCTCCTCTTCTCCCTTCCATCCTCCCTCCCTCCCTCCCTCCCTCCCTCCCTCCCTCCCTCCCTCCGTCCTTCCTTCCTTCCTCCTTCCTTCCTCCCTCCCTCCTTCCTTCCTCCCTCCCTCCTTTCCTCCCTCCCTCTTCTCTCCTTCCTTACTTCTCCCTCCCTCCTCTTCTCCCTTCCATCCTCCCTCCCTCCCTCGCTCCCTCCCTCCCTCCCTCCCTCCTTCCGTCCTTCCTCCCTCCCTCCTTCCTTCCTCCCTCCCTCCTTCCTTCCTCCCTCCCTCCTTTCCTCCCTCCCTCTTCTCTCCTTCCTTCCTTCTCCCTCCCTCTTCTTCTCCCTTCCATCCTCCCTCCCTCCCTCCGTCCTTCCTTCCTTCCTCCTTCCTTCCTCCCTCCCTCCTTTCCTCCCTCCCTCTTCTCTCCTTCCTTCCTTCTCCCTCCCTCCTCTTCTCCCTTCCAACCTCCCTCCCTCCCTCCCTCCTTCCGTCCTTCCTTCCTTCCTCCTTCCTTCCTCCCTCCCTCCTTCCTTCCTCCCTCCCTCCTTTCCTCTCTCCCTCTTCTCTCCTTCCTTCCTTCTCCCTCCCTCCTCTTCTCCCTTCCAATCTCCCTCCCTCCCTCCCTCCCTCCCTCCTTCCGTCCTTCCTTCCTTCCTCCTTCCTTCCTCCCTCCCTCCTTTCCTCCCTCCCTCTTCTCTCCTTCCTTCCTTCTTCCTCCCTCCTCTTCTCCCTTCCATCCTCCCTCCCTCCCTTCCTCCCTCCCTCCCTCACTCCCTTCCTTCCCTCCTTCCCCCCTTCCTGCCCTCCTTCATTCCTTACTTCCTGCCTTCCCACACCCTGCAATGCCCAGGGACCAGTCCTGGCTCTGCAGTCAGTAATTACTCCTTGCATTGCCGGGTGCATATGGGGTGCTGGGGCTTGAAGCCGGGTCGGCTGTGTGGAAGGCAAACACCTACCTGCTGTACTATAGCTCTGGTCCCTGTTTAGCTTTCTTAACCATGGAACAGAGCTGTCAATAAGCTCTGCTGAGAGGTGTTCATTGTTGTTGTTGTTTGTGGGCTGTACCCAGCAGGTAAAGGGGCAACTCCTGTTTCAGTGCTCCTGGGGGGTACAGCAGAGAGAGGGAGACTGTGGTAGCGGGGATCAAACTCAGACCTCCAGCATGAGAAGCACAGGCTCCAGCCTCTCACACCCTCCCTCCAGCCCTCAGCGATGCGTTTGAATGACCTGCATGTACAAGTTTCCTGCTTTCTCTCCTCGCGTGGGGTTTCTGAGCAGCATCCTTCTCTCTGGCCACATTCACTCAGCAAATACCTGGGCTTGAATTCTCAGCTCTCGGCAGGAGGCGTTCACTTGACCACTTGACATCCCGGTACTCATCTGTTTGCTCGAGCGGGTGCCATTAATGTCTCCATTCGTCCCTGTCGCATGCTAGTGTAGCTCTAGGAACACAAAGAGCCTCAAACCGATCGTTCAGGGTCTTGACGAAGAAGTCTGACCATCTCGTAGGTGGGCGGCCACTCAGTCTTTTGATGTCACGTGGAATCCAGTTGGAAATGGCTCTAGACCAGTGGTCATCTCCAAATCTCATTACGTGTCCAGCCCATCTGATTTTTGATGCTTGGCAAACGAGACAGCGTCCCTGATTCTTTTTTTTTCCTTATATTTATTTATTGAACCACTGTGGGAAAGGTTACAAAGCTTTCAGGTTTAAGTCTCAGTCATACAATGATCAGACACCTTTCCCTTCACCAGTACTCATTTTTCACCACCAAGAACCCAATATACCCTCTTCCCACCCCTCCCAAAGCCTATGAGGCAGATGATTTCTACTTAACTTTTCTCTACATTGATTACATTCATTATTTTGACAAAAGATGCACCATTATTGTTTAGAATCCCCCCCCCCCCAATCAGAATTGCTGAAAAGGCATTGTGAAATACTTTGTTTTCTATAGCTGGTTATGAGAATCATATAATGATTTTGCATTTCTGCAAAGAGCCAGATAATTACTGATTGTTGACTGTCCACGGAGGTCGGAACTCCGGATTCTTTTTCTCTTTTGAGTGAAGTGTGATACTCCAAGCATAGCTCTTTCAATTCCTCTTTGGGAGATCCAAATAAATACAATGGGTCTCATTCCCCTTTTGCAAGAGGCGTTAATGAACGTTATATGACCTCCCGGGGCCTCCCACCTAAGGAAAGAGAGGCCAGAGCTACAGTCATGGAAACGCGTGACGCGACTTCCCGTGTGGGTGTTGGACAGGCCACAGAAGAGCTTCCTGCATTTAGTTTCTGAGTGACTGGCTTTCTCCTGACTGTTGAGTGCGGCCCCTGGAAGCGTTCAAGGGGGTGAAGGAAGAGTTTCACTGAACAGAACCGCTAAAGAGCAGGAAAACGGCCCATTGGTTATCGAAGTTGGCGAGATAGGGATGGCAAGCTGACGGGCCCAGATTGTTCACTGGGTCTTGGTGGAGGTGGTTGGTGGGGGCGCGGGGGGGGATACAGAGCAGCAGCTGAAGGACCCCTAAATGCATTTGCCATATCCTCGGGAATATGGCTCCTTCCCTGCAGAGAGATGTTGGGATTCTCAGAGGGACAGATTCACCAGCGTCGCAAGGCCAAAAGACGCAGCCCTGGGAAGGTGGTTTGCTCATGTCTGCTCTGACAGGAAAAGGGTGTGGAGTCGGCTGGAGATTGTCTCCAGAACTCTCGGTGGGGAGGAGCAGGGCGGACCCACAAAAGTGCAGATGTGGTTCCATCTCTGCCAAATGCCAAGAGACAGGCAGAGCGCACAGGGCCCTGGGCGGGTGCCGGCCCCCCTCACCGCCTCCTCCATCAGACTGGCCTCATGCCCAGCCCGCTGCCTCTCCCCAAAGGCCCTTCCCGTGCCAGCGCCTTGGTTTCCACAGCCATAAAATAAGAAATCTGAACTTCACCACTCTTTCCATTGGGGTTGCGTTTTTATTGTTTTGGCTTGAGGCCACGCCGCTTGGGGGCTACTCCTGGTGCTGTGTTCGGGGTTTTGTGGTGCTTGAGGGACCATATGGTGCCAGGGATTGAACTGGGCCTCCTGTTTGCAAAGCCGGTGCTCTGGCTTGTGGGAGGCTCACCCTCCCCCCAAACTCACTCTCTCTCTCTCTCTCTCCCCTCTCTCTCCCCACCTTTCTCCATCCCTCTGTCCCTCTCTTCTCTTCCCCCCCCCCCGCCCCACTTTCAGTTTTTGAGACCTTGCAAACTTTTTTCTTTTCCAGGCAAAATTTATTTTGGAAATCCATACATGAAAAAGATCCAATTAGTTGCATTAATAATAATGGCATTCAATCTTCCTTTTAAAAATCTTTTTGTGCCACACCCAGCTGTGCTCAGGGCTTACTCCTGGCTCTGTGCTCAGGGATCACTCCAGGTGAACCCAGAAGACCATGCGGGGTACCAGGAATCAAACCTGGGTCAGTTGCTTGCAAGGCAAGAGCCCTACTCCTCTGCTATTTCCCCAGTCCCAATCTTTCTTTCTTTCTTTCTTTCTTTCTTTCTTTCTTTCTTTCTTTCTTTCTTTCTTTCTTTCCCTCCCTCCCTCCCTCTCTTCTTTCTTTCTTTCTTTCTTTCTTTCTTTCTTTCTTTCTTTCTTTCTTTCTTTTCTCTCCCTCCCTCCCTCCCTCCCTCCCTCCCTTCTTTCTTTCTTTCTTTCTTTCTTTCTTTCTTTCTTTCTTTCTCTTTCTTTCTTTCTCTATACCTTGAGAATGGTTCAGAAACCTCTAGGTCAAATGATTTCCAAACTGGTTTAAATGGAATAGTTTTGTGTTTTCTGGGCTGTCGGAACTTTGGGGGCTAGGAATGCCAGTGCTACAGGAGACTTTTCAATCCTACTTCCGTCGAGAAGTTGTACTTCAATGAATGAATGTATGTGGCTGTTTGGGGTCAGTGCATGTGACCCGTCAACATTTTGTTTCCCATTTCACAGATCAGTTACATGGAGGACATTTTGAAATCCATTTTAATCAAGTGCGAGTTCCTGCCACCAATTTAATACTAGGTAAGTGAAGGTTGGAAAACTTCGCTCTCCAGTATGGGATAGTAGGATCTTTCCTGGTCTGAATGTGGGAAAGATAGAAGTCAGCCTTAAATTAGATGCCTTTCTTCATCATTTGTAAGGACAACTTTTTCTGTTTTGTGTCCTTCCTTCCTTCCTTCCTTCCTTCCTTCCTTCCTTCCTTCCTTCCTTCCTTCCTTCCTCTTTTTTCCTTCCTTCCTTCCTTCAATAGAAAGAAATTGAGTCACTGTGAGATACAGTTATACAGCTTTCATGTTTGAGTTTCAGCCATACAATAATCAAACTCCCATCCCTCCACCAGTGCACATTTCCCACCACCAATGTCCCCAGTGTACACCCCCATTTCCAACCCTCGCCCTGCCTCCATGGCAGACAGTTTCCCCCATACTCCCTCTCTACTTTGGGGCACCCCGCAGATCCCAGAAGCGAAGGCAGTTGGGCCTGACCAGTTCTCATGCTCCTCCCCCACAGGCGAAGGGCGGGGATTCGAGATCGCGCAGGGCCGCCTGGGCCCGGGCAGGATCCACCACTGCATGAGAGCCGTGGGCCTGGCCGAGCGCGCGCTGGGGCTCCTGTGCCAGCGGGCCGCGCAGCGGGTGGCCTTCAAGAAGAAGCTCTACGAGCACGTAAGTCCCCGCAGGTCCTGCTCCCGAAGCACTGGGGTGCAGGCAGGGGGGCACCTCCTCCCGCTCTGCAACTCACCCCGAGGGCTGGGCTTCTCCTGATATCTTCTGGTCTCTCACCTATTGATTTTTCATTTATATTCATTCTTTTTTTAAAAAAAATTATTTGGGGCTGGAGTGATAGCACAGTGGGTAGGGCGTTTGCCTTGCACGTGGCCGACCCGGGTTCCATTCCCAGCATCCCATATGGTCCCCTGAGCACCGCCAGGAATAATTCCTGAGTGCAGAGCCAGGAGTAACCCCTGTGCATCGTTGGGTGTGACCCAAAAAGAAAAAAAAAATTTTTTTTTGGATTGAGATTCTGTGGTTTACAATACTGTTGATAGTGGTTTCTCGAGCACATCATTCCCACATCACGCCCTTCCCCAGTTGTCCGCCCCCAGCCCCGGTCTCCCCTCCCCTCCCTTTCTAAACCCCAGCCTCCCCAACTCAGTTGTGTGGATCAGTGCCCCCATTATGTAGCCCTTTGGGTCTTTGTTGCTTACCTTATTTTGTGTGTCTTTGTCTCACATGCGAGAGAGATCATTCTGTACCTGGCCTTTTCCTTCTGACTGTCTTTGCTTAGCAGAATTTCCTCTAGTTCCATCCACGTTGCTTCACATTGCATGATTTTGTTCTGCTTTAGAGCTGCATAGTATTCCATTGTGTGTACACACCACAGCTTCTCAGCCATTCACCTGGAGTTGGGCATTTTGGGTTGTTTCCTTATCTTGATTCTTGTACTAAGTGGGACAATGACATGGGTGTCATATATTCTTCTGAGCGAATGTTTTTGTTTTTGGGGGGGATAGATGCCAAGAAGTGGTAGCATTGGGTTGGGTGGTAGTTCTGTAGCTTTCCGTGTAGTACAGCAGGGCAGCTACAATTCTTCCCACAGGCCACTTGTCACCAGAGACATGTTGATGTGACTCTGGGTCTGTGGTCGTATAAACAGGCCTACGAGTTAGACATTTATGGATAATAAATCATCAAGACATTTATTTCAAAAGATGTATATATATACATATACATATATATATTATTTGTCTTTTTGTGTCACCCGGCAATGCTCAGGAGTTACTTATGGCTCAGCAACTCATGAATTACTCCTGGTAGTGCTTGGGGGAACCATATGGGATGCCATGGATCAAACCTGGGTGGGCTGCATGCAAGGCAAACACCCTGCCTCCTGCACTATTGCTCTGGCCCTGAAAAGATATTTTATTTTATTATTTTTTTAAGTGAATCACCGTGCGATACAGTTACAGACTTAACTTTCATGATTACGTTTCAGTCATACAATGATTGGGCTGGAGCAATAGCACAGCGGGTAGGGCATTTGCCTTGCAAGCGGCCAACATGGCCAACCTGAGTTCGATTCCTCCGCCCCTCTGGGAGAGCCCAGCAAGCTACCGAGAGTATCTCGCCCGCACAGCAAAGCCTGGCAAGCTCCCCGTGACGTATTCTATATGCCAACCATAGTAATAATTATCACGATGGAGACATTACTGGGCCCGCTTGAGCAAATCGATGAACAACCGGAGGAAGTGACAGTGACATACAATGATCAAGTACCCATCCCTTCACCAGTGTCCATTCTTCACCACCAATGTTTCCAGTATCCCTCCCAACCCCCATCCCCCACCCCCCATCTCTATGGTAGGCACATTCCCTCTTACTTTCTCTCTCCCTTTGGGTGTTAAGATTTGCAATACAGGTATTAAGTGGCCATCATGTTTGGTCCATAGTCTACTTTCAACACGCCTCTTCCATCCCAAGTGAGCCCTCCAAGCATCATTTACTTGGTGGTTCCTTCTCTATCCCAACTACCTTTTCCCCCAGCATGTGAGGTCGACTTGAAAAGATATTTTTTAAAAAAAACCTTTTCACTCCTCCTCACTCAGTGCCAGGACCCCCGATTTAAGAAGCTGGTGTCTACAGAACTGGGTTTCTCGGCATCTTTGTGGAAATGAGGTGGCCATTTGGGAAGAGGCTTCCTTTGACCTTTGGCCTCTTGGAAGGAAAGAGGCGAGTGTGGAGGTGTGGGGAACTGCGCATAGTTCCATGGAAGGGGTGAGGCGGGCGTGGGAGGGGTTGTTGCAGGAGGAAGTGAGCGCCTGCATTGTGGTAATGAAGATGGGCCTGCGCCTTGTGGTAGGTTGGAGATGTTTTGACTCTTCCGCAGCTATTCAGTGTCTTGTCTGCAGAGCACAACCAGGTTACCTGTCACTGATATAATAAAAAAATGGGCTGGCTTACCAAAGGGCAAAGAACCTATAATTTCAGGCTTCTTTGGAAACTTTTAAAGACAGGTAGAGAGATAGTACATTGGGCAGAGCACTTGCCTTGCATGCGGCAAGTGCAGGAAGTTTAGTACAGCAGGGCTGCTATAGTTCTGGGTCTCTCTGTGGTCCCCTGAGCACTGCCGGGAGTGATCCCTGAGTAAGTCCTGGGCACCACTGGATGTTACCCCAAAACAAAACAAAAGTGAGTCTAGAGAGAGGAATGAACGCACTTGTGTTATGTGGCCGGCCCTGAGCTGGGAGTGACCCCTGAGGGCATCCAGGTTTGAGTTCTTCAAAAGAAGAGTGGGGGCTGGAGCGATAGCACAGCAGGCAGGGCGTTTGCCTTGCGCGCGGCTGACCTAGGTTCAATTCCCAGCATCCCCATATGGTACCCTGAGCACCGCCAGGAGTGATTTCTGAGTGCAGAGCTAGGAGTAACCCCTGTGCATCACCGGGTGTGACCCCCAAAAAAGTGAAAAAAGAAAGTGGTTATTCAGATCACACCCCCCCCCCACACACACACACAAAATCCTTTCAAGGATGTGAACAAATTTATTACAGGTATAACACTTGGGCTGGAGTGATAGTACAGCAGGTAGTGCATTTGCCTTGCATGTGGCCGATTTGGGGTCTATCCTGGCCTCCTATGTGGTCCCCTGAGCCTCACCAGGAATGACCCATGAGTGCAGAGCCAGGAGTAAGCCTTGAAGACTATGAGTTTTAGCCCCCACGTAAAAACAAACAAAATACTTAGGGGCTTCACTCTGGGGGCACCCCATGTTCTCTCTCCAACACACATTGCCTTTGTTCTCTCCCCTCACATCTAAGTAAGTTTCATTCAACAAAAACCTTCTTGCTTCACTAAATAATACTTATGTTTACTAAAATTTAAGACTTAGTCTTAGATCATCAGTTCCAGGGTGAGAGACTTTTACTTGCATTTGCGGGACATGGGTAATTTGGGAGTTTGGGCCATGCCTGGTGGTGCTCAGTGAGTGCTCCCCGTCCTGTGCTCAGGAGCCAGCTGGCTACTGCAGGCCAAGCCGGGCATCCTTTGAGCTTTCCCAGTGTCTGGGAGAAGAGTCAGACACCCTTTGGCGTTCCCCTCTCAGCGGTCTGCTTGTTTTGTTTGTTTGTTTGTTTGTTTTTAATTTCTATTAGTGAGACACCATGAGGCACAGTTGTAGACTTACAAATTTTGGTGCTTGGGTTTCAATTATACAGTGATCAAGTACCCATCCCTCCACCAGTGCCCATTCTCCACCACCACTGATCCCAGTATCCCTCCCACCCCCATCCCTCCCATCCCCCCATCCCCCCCACCTCTTGGTAAGGCATTCCCTTTTGCTCTCTCTCTCCTTTTGTGTGCTGTGGTTTAAGCGATCTGCTTGTTGTCATCTTCTGTGTCTAGGAAATGGGCGCATTAAGATCAACTTCAAACAAACGAGATGTCTGGGGCTCCCTGGGCATGGGGCGGAGGGTGTCTTGGCAGTGCAGTGGAGATCCCGCGGTGATGTGGTCCTTAAGGAACAGCCTGCTCGGTGGCCCACCCCTGCTGATCATGTGCGGGGAATCCTTTGAGTAGTGGGGCACCGGGGTTGAGGCCCGGGACAGGAGCCCTGCAGGTCGTCGGGAGGGGCCTGGGGATGCTGCTGCCTGGCTGGGGAAGGCCCCGCTCTCTCTGCTGACGCTGCTGTTGGTTCAGGATCACGCCCGCCTCTGGCGCCTCGGCACCCTCCACCCCCTGAAAGCCTTCCTGTCCTGCTCATATTTTCTGAAAGCAGCTAGACACCCACCCTCGAGGGAAACACCCCCTCATGCTTCTCAGGGCCTTTGTGTCCTGCAGAGCAAGCCCGGGCTTTGGGGACACACGTCTCCCTGCTCCGGAAACTTCCTGCCTTTGGCACTGACAGGGAAGAGTTGGCAGGAATAACAGGGGCGTGCGATCCTGCCCCAAATGAAAGGGCCAGCTGCTTCTCCTTTTCTTTCTCCGATTGTCAGAGTGACATTCCATTCCCTGAAAGGGCTGCTCCAGCCAGCGGCTGCCTCCTGAGGGGTTCCAGGCGCCCCAGTGAGGAGAGAGGAGTGAGGAGAGAGGAGTGAAGGAATAAAGAGAAAAGAATGAGGACAGAAGAGTGAGGGGAGAGGAAAGAAGGGAGAGGGATGTGGGGAGAGGGGTGAGGAGAGAGAGGGGTGAGGGGAGATGAGTGAGAAGAGAGGGGTGAGGGGAGAAGGGTGAGGGGAGAAGGGTGAGGAAGGAGAGGTGAGGGGGAGAGGGGTGAGGGGAGAGGGTTGAGGAAGGAGGGGTAAGGAGAGAGGGGTGAGGAAGGAGGGGTGAGGAGAGAGGGGTGAAGGACGAGGAGTGAGGGGAGAGGGGTAAGGGAAGAGGGGTGAGGTAGAGGGGTGAGGGGAGAGGAGTGAGGAGAGATGAGTGAAGGAATAAGGAGAAAAGAATTAGGACAGAAGAGTGAGGGGAGAGAAAAGAAGGGAGAGGGGTGAGGGGGAGGGAGGAGGGGTGAAGGGAGAGGGATAAGGGGAGAGGGGGAAGGTAGAGGAGTGAGAAGAGAGGGGTGAGGGTTGAGAGGAGAGGGGTGAAGGAGGCAGGGTGAGTGGAGAGGGGTGAGGGAGGAGGGGTGAGGGGAGAGGAATGAGGGGAGAGGGGTGAGGGAAGAGGGGTGAGGTAGAGGGGTAAGGGGAGAGGAGTGAGAAGAGAGGGGTGAGGGGAGAGGGGTGAGGGGAGTGGGAGGAGGGGGAGGGGAGAGGGGTGAGTGGAGAGGGGTGAGGAGAGAGGGGTGAAGTAGAGGGGTGAGGGGAGAGGGGTGAGAGGAGAGGGGTGGGGGGGAAAAGGGTGAAGTAGAGGGGTGAGGGGCGAGGGGTGAGGGAGGAGGGAGGAGGGGAGAGGAGTGGTGACCCAGAACAGCAGCCCTGCTTGGGGTTCTGAAACACTCTGTGCGCCTGAAGGGAGGTCGGAGGAGCAGGGCCAAGCACCCAGCTCCCCTCCTGGTTTCACACTCCCGGGAAAGCGCGGAAAAGGGTCTAGACAGATGACAACATCTGGGGCCAGAGAGACAGTGCAGTGTGCAGGGTGCCCGCCTTGCAGGCAGCGAACCCCAGTTTTATCCCTGCCACCCCATATGGTCCCCCAAGCACTGTCAGGAGTGAATTTTGAGTGCAGAGCCAAGAGTAACCCCTGAGGATCACTTGCTCCATCCAAAACAAAAAAATAAATCATCAGATGACACTTGATGACACTTGAAACCCTGATTTTCTGAACTGGCAGCACATCTGCACTGGGCGGACACAGTGCAGTGCTCAGAGCCCACGTGGCCGACAGAACAGAGGCCAGAGGCCCACGAAGATGAATGGGCCAGCGCAGACAGGCCTGGCCAGCATGAAATGGGCCAGGGAGGGCTTCCGTGGCACGGATCAGAGCACGACCGTCTCCTGCTCCAGCCACCCATGCCAAATATTATTCCCTGTCATAAACACCGGGGCCATGTTTATAGACAGAGCCGGGGGACCCAGAGAGCCAGCGGAAGCGTTTGCTCTGTCTCCCACGCTCAGTGCCCACTTCCAGATATTCAAATGCTCATGGCATTTAGGGCCATGTGGGTCTCCATATTCGACACTTTCTTCCCCAGGTGTTGAGAAAACTCAGCACTCAGCCGACCAAGAAGCCAGTGCCATGTTTAAAAATGAATTTTGGGGAGAATATTGTAGGTTCACATACAGATTAAGAAATCCTACAGGGGCCGGAGAGATAATCAGCCGGTGAAGGCACTCACCTTGCAAGCAGCTGACCCGGGTTCAAGTCCCAACACCACTTATGGTCCCCTGAGCACGGAGCCAGGAGTAGACCCTGAGCACAGCCAAGTGTGGCCCCAAACCAAACTGTCAAAGACAGACACAGAGAGGTGTGGTGCCTTTCGTCCATGTTCCCCACTGGAAACGTCTAGAACAGATCAGAGCCAGACACTGTCACTTCTGGGCACCGGGGATGGGGGGGGGGGGGGGGTTGGTTGTGCTCTGGCCATGGCTATAGGATCTGGGGTCTCTCGGCATGACATGCTTACTCTCTCTCCCCCCTCCTCCTCATTAGCCCCGGGTGACCACTGACCTTGCTAGTGTCATTTCTGCTCTGTTTTTCTTATTCAAGTTTTTTTTTTCTTTTTGGGTCACACCCAGCGATGCACAGGGGTTCCTCCTGGCTCTGCACTCAGGAGTTACTCCTGGCGGTGCTCAGGGAACCATATGGGATGGTGGGAATCGAACTTGGGTTGGCCTCATGCAAGGCAAACACCCTACCCGCTGTGCTATCTCTCCAGCCCGTGTTTTTCTTTCTTTTTTTTTTTCTGCTCTATTTTTCTACATTCCCGTGCAATATTTTAAACCTTCTCTCTTGATTTAGCTACGGTATTCCTTACACATGCCGACCTGAATTGGCACACACACACACACACACACACACACACACACACACACACAATTTTATTTTCAGAGAGTGGGTATTTGGTCTACATACTGTGGTACTGTTTTGTTGCAGGTTGACTTTAGGTTGACCTTGTGACCACTCACTACTTTCAGTACTGGGGCTGTAGCAATAGCACAGTGGTAGGGCATTTGCCTTGCACGTGGCCGGCCTGGCCGACCTGGGTTCGATTTCTCTGCTCCTCTTGGAGAGCCCGGCAAGTTACCAAGAGTATCTTGCCCGCACAGCATTGCCTGGCAAGCTATCCGTGACGTATTGAATATGCCAAACACAGTAACAACAAGTCTCCCAATTTGTTGTGAGATGTTACTGGGCCCACTCGAGCAAATCGATGAACAACGAGAGGACAGTGCTACAGTTCTCTGAATATAGCTCTTCGGTATGGCTTTGCATGGCCCGAGGCATTTAAGGATCTCTGAGCAGGGTCTGTATCTGTGGGTCTCTTGTCAGTCTGCGAACTCATCTTCCTGGGTGGGCGTGGAAGACAGGAGCTTCAGCTTCCTCTACCTTCCATCACCTCCCCCGCTTACAATTGTTTCAAGCCCTTCCTCTCCGTATATTTGGTATGATATACGGTGGAAGGCTTTGGATTCAGCTATCAGGTTCATTTAGAAAACTCAGGTGGTGCTCGTGTGCTGCCTGAGCCCATGTGTTGCTGGCGCCCACCAGGCCGAACATGCGTCGCCCGAGCACATGTGTCACTCGCATCTCCCCTCTTGAGATGTGGACTTTCATGCTTTCGTGTATAATGTGGAATGTGTCTAGGGGCTCTCTCCGCCCTTGGAGAAGCCCAAGTTCTCTCTTGAGCACATTAGTCTCTCTCTCTCTCTCTCTCTCTCTCTCTCTCTCTCTCTCTCTCTCTCTCTCTTTTTCTCTCCCTCCACACCTTTAAAAACCTTCCAAATAAAACCTATTTACTTCACTGTCACTGTCCTCCCATTGTTCATCGATTTGCTCCAGCGGGTCCAGTAACATCTCCATTGTGAGACTTGTTGTTACTGTGTTTGGCATATCGAATACGTCATGGGGAGCTTGCCAGGCTTCTACCATGTGGGCGAGATACTCTCGGTAGGTTGCTGGGCTCTCCGAGAGGGGCAGAGAAATTGAACCTGGGCCGACCTGGTCAGCCGTGTGCAAGGCAAATGCCTTACCCACTGTGCTGTCACTCTCTCTCTCTCTCTCTCTCTATATATATATATATATATCAAATAAAATATATATAAAAATATAAATATACACATACACACACACACACACACAGAGCAAGGCCTGGGCACAGTCTGGTGGGTGGAGCGTATCTCCTGCAAACTGCAGGTCTGTGTTCCACGTGGCCTAGATTTACCACGTCCCTACCCGCCCGCAGGAAGTGGTGGCCCACTGGATTGCCAAAAGCCGCATCGCCATCGAGGAGATCCGCTTGCTGACCCTGAAGGCTGCCCACAGCATCGACACTCTGGGCAGTGCTGGAGCCAGAAAGGAGGTGAGACCCCACCCCCCCAGGCCCCTACCAGCTGTGTCCTCTTGAGTTTCTCCCACTCCTGGAGCATTTCCTGCTTCCTGGCGCTGGGGCCACTCCGCAAATGGGAAGTAAAGATGTTCAAGGTCAGCGAGATAGTACAGCGGGTAGGGTTCCTGCCCGGCATGCAGCTAACCCAGGTTCGATCCCTGGCACCCAGGATGGGTCCCTGAGCCTCACCAGAAGTGATTCTTGGGGCGCAGAGCCAGGAGTAAGCCCTGAACTCTGTGGGGTGCGACCCTGAACAAAACAAAGAAAGAATTTTCAGCACCTGTTCCGTACCAGTGCTCCATTTCCGGGCTGCTGGGCTGAGATTCCGGACAGCATATCTTCAGCTCCTTGAGACTCGGTAACAGAGCAGGGAAGCCCTCAACTTAGAAGATGTGGCATCGTACCACTGTGTCCCTCTGCCAGCCGTGTGTCCTCGGCAGCCCCCCCCTTCCATCCAGCATCTGGGTGACCAGTGACTGTGGGACTCTGGAAGCTTTGCCCCCTGGTCAGTACTTCATCACAGGCACCCCTTGCCCACGGCCACCTTGTTGGAATAAGAACGTGACCACTTAATCCTAAAAGCCAATAAAATGGCTAAGAGGAAGCTGGTTAGCCAAGACCCTTCCTCTCCTCCTCTGACTCCTAAGGCAGGGATGTGATCTCCCAGCTACCTGAAATTCTTTTTAAAAATAAGGCAGGTCACAACTAAATGAAGGATATTCGACCTGGCAGAGATCCAGCTCTGGCCAGCAGGTTGGACTTGCAGGCTGACTGGCCTTGAAGTCTGGCCCAGAGCCACATTTTCGCCAAGGCCTGTCTGTGTTACTTGTGGGGATGTGCGCATGGGCAGGTTCCTGTTTCACTACACAGAGCCAAGTGCAGTTTCCACCAAGCGGACCATGTCTTGTCTGAAAGGGAATGTCTTTTTTTTTTTTTTTAATTTTTGACCTGGCCTTCGTAGATCTCAATGATTAAAGTGGCCGCCCCCCGGGTCGTCTGCAAAGTCATCGATCGGGCCATCCAGGTGTGCGGAGGTGCCGGTGTGTCCCAGGATTTGCCTCTGGCTAACATGTGAGTGGCTGTCATCTCGAACCCTTCCTGTGGGTTCGTGTACTGTTAGCAGATGCCTTGACCCGCCTGCCTCACACTCCCATGAGGTTAAGGACAGTGACATTTCACTCGTGAGGGTAACAACTTCTGCATTCTCCTTGGTGCTGAGCTCTCCCGGGCTGCAGAAATAGCGGGGGTGGGGGGGCGGGGGGGCTCCCCCTGAAACAGGGCGTGGCAGGTAGATGGGTGTGAAGCTGAATCAAGTGGGAACTGGGGGGAGCTGGAGAGGGAGTTCTTGGGGGACAGATCTCAGATATGGGGTGTGTCAAGAAGGAAGAGTCCCCATGGGGACGGAGAGATTGTCCAGGAGTAAAGCATTGGCCTTGTCTGCAGCAGCAGGCCTTGCTTTGATCCCGGCACTGCCTGGGGGGCCCCAAACTCCTAGGCACAGAGCCAGGAATAGCCTCTGAGCACCTCCAGGTGTGGCCAAAGAAGAGTCCTCATTGCCTGCGACAGTGCCCTGTCACCTGTCACCAGGAGATGAGTTCTTCCTCATCAATGCCCAACGTGGAGAAAGCATAGCTGGCGTCCGAGGCTCGCCCAAGAGAACTCTTTGTTCTAGCAACCTCTGTTCGCCCGTCAAGGTGCACTTAGCTCCCTCCCCGAGCCCTCAGAGGTTCGTCTCAGGGGTGACAGCTTGCAGGGATGTTCTCTCGGAAGGCCCCGGGCTGAGTGGCCTGGATCAACCTGTGCTTGTTTGTATCTGTGCCCTGGCCAGGGTTCAGGAAGGGCGGCTGGCCTGGAAGCCCTGCGAGGGTGCTGAAAGGGCCGTGTTCCTCTCTGATAACCCTGCGCCCCCCGCTCTTGTTTTCCCAGGTACGCCCTAGCACGAACTCTGCGCTTGGCCGACGGGCCCGACGAGGTGCATCTCTCAGCCGTGGCAGCCCTGGAACTGCGGGAACAGGCCCGGCGCCTGCGGGCCCGGGTGTAGGTGGCACCACAGCCGCCCTGCCGGGATGCTCGCCTCGGGCCGTGCAACTGAGCACGGGGTGAATCACCTTAGACTCGAGCATCTAGGCCTGGGCAAAGGGCTGCAGTGCAGGCTGCAGGGGAATGGGGGTGGGGTGGGGGGAAGACCAGCATTGGGGATGGCTCTGCAGAATTCCCCCAGCACCCCTGGGTATGCCCCCAACCAAAAAAGAGAGCGATGAGTATCTCGGTCCTTGATGCAGGGTGTGTTTGTGGAATTTCATGGGTGCCACAGGTTTCAGGTAAATAAGAGATCAGACATTCCTGGGGTTGTTCAGTCTTGCATACAGGTGTTTAGCGAGGCTGTTTCTTAACACCCAAATCCCAGATCATGAAATCAATTAGAGCGCTAAAGCATGGGCGTCAACTACTTCGACTTCTGACTCTCAAAGGACTGCAGCTTTAAATTGATCTTCAAGGAAGCCTTCCAAAACTACAAATGGGTCTTTTTTTTCCTTCTTTTTTTTTCTTTTCTTTTTGGGTCACACCAGGCGATGCTCAGGGGTTACTCCCAGCTCTGCACTCAGAGTCTTCCCTCCTTCCTAACCAATGGCTTGGCAGGCAGGTTAGCACCATGGAGGGCATTTGCCCTGCAGGAAGAAGCAAGGTGGCCACAGGCCTCTGTGGCCTCTTCATGGCTCATCAGGAGGCATTTCGACACCAAATCTGAATCTGCAGTTTCAAGTTTGCTACAAAACACAACACATGGTGAGGACACTTTAAGTCATGGAGGAGAGCAGTGGGCGGTTTCGGCTCCAAGTGGCTCGAGAAGGCATGAGAGACAATCTGCTGTCCCAGACCAGCTTCACCAGTCCCCCACGGCCCAGACGCCCCCAGCTCGGGCTCGGGTGGGGGGGATCATGTGCTCCTCATGGCCCGGCCTACTGTTCCTTTGAGCTTTTTTTTTTCTTTTTGGGACACACCTGGTGATGCACAGGGGTTACTCCTGGCGCTGCACTCAGGAATCACTCTTGGCAGTGCTCAGGGGACCATATGGGATGCTGGGAATTGAACCTGGGTCGGCTGCGTGCAAGGCAAATGCCCTACCCGCTATGCTATCACTCCAGCCTGTAGCATCTCCTCTCGGAATTCCTTTTCAGAGTGATGGCACGTGGGGTGACGGCTGCTGAGTCCTTAGGACTTGCCTTCGCCCTCTCCCCGTGGTCGGGGTCTGCACTGCTTACCCAGGGCTTCTTTTGAAGTCCAGGGGTGTGTCTTTTCCACTTCACTGTCAGGGAGGTTTCTGGGGGTGCTCTGTTAAGGGATGGACATCATCCTGACCTTTGGTCTTGTACTGGGGGCCTCAGTTGTGCCACTTTGGGAAAAGGCGCTGACTCCTGACCCTCTGTGCTTTTTTTTTTTTTTTCACTTTTTGGGTCACACCCGGCAATGCACAGGGATTACTCCTGGCTCTGTGCTCAGGAATTACTCCTGGTGGTGCTCAGGGGACCACATGGAATGCTGGGAATCGAACCCGGGTCAGCCACATGCAAGGCAAATGCTCTACCCGCTGTGCTATGGCTCCAGTCCCCTCTGTGTGCTTTTTAGCCTTGAACTGTGGCTGGTGCCGTGAACCACTAGATTTTCTTTCTTTCTTTTTTTTTAAATCAAGTCTCCACCTGTTTCCAGAAGCCATTAAAGTATGCTTGGAATAATGTGTATGCGAGTCAACTTGTTTTGAAGGTAAATTTTATAACATCAAAATAGAGAACAAATCTTTCAAATGAGGATTTTGCATCCGGATTTGGAAACAGAATAACTGAAAATTTAACTCCGGAGTTTGAAGACAGTGTGAAAAGAAAAATCTCACCGATAATTTTTTTTTGAAGACAGTATGAAAAGAAAATTCTCACTGATAATATTTTTTTTTGGTAGGGGGGAGCGCTCCCATGTGGTGGTCAGGATATCAGGGTCCTCACCAGCAATTCTCAGCTAGGTTGGTGGTTCAGGAGGTTGCCTGGGATGCGGTGCTGCTCGGACACTGCGTGCTGGTGATCACCCAGGTACCCCAGCAGGGTTGAGGGGCTCTAAGACTGTCCCTGGTGATGCTCGGGGACTGAGTGGTACCTGGAAAGAACCTAAGTCAGGTGTATCTTAGATCTGAGTCCTAAACACTTGATTATCCCCTAACATTTTCAAGATATTGATTCCCTCTTGACAGACTGGATCATTTAGAGATACTGAATCAAATCAAATGTATTATTGAAATTAATTCTCCCTGTTGCTTATTCCCTCCTTAGTGGGGCTGCCATTTGAATGGTAACTGGTAAATAAAAAATTTTTCAAATAAAAGCATTTTTTGGTTTGTTCCTTGGGGACATATCTGGCTGTGCTCAGGGCTTTCTTCTGGTTCAGAGCTCAGAGGGACTCCTGGGGGACCATATGGGGTGCTGGGGACCAAATTGGGGTTGGCCGTGTGCAAACAAGCACCCTATCCACTGTACTGTCTTTCCGGCCTAGAAAGCATTTAAAAAATCTCTAAAAACTGTTTTATTAGAAAACATTTTCATCACTTGAAATGATTGATGCCCAGAGATTTCAACTATATGTATTACTGTCATCGTGTTGTTCGATTTACTCGAGTGGGCACCAGTAACATCTCCATTCGTCCCAGCCCTGAGATTTTAGCAGCTTCTCCTTACTCGTCTTTCCCAATGCTGCCATATTAGAGGCTCTTTCAGGCTCAGGGGCATGAGACCCGTTATTGTTACTGTTTTTGGCATGTCGAATATACCACAGGGAGCTTGCCAGGCTCTGCTGTGCGGGTGGGATACTCTTAGTAGCTTGTTGGGCTCTCCAAGAGGTATATCACTGTCACTGTCCTCCTGTTGTTCATCGGTTTGCTTGAGTGGGCCCAGTAACGTCTCCATTTTGAGACTTGTTGTTACTGTGTTTGGCATATTTAATATGTCACGAGTAGCTTACCAGGCTTTGCTGTGCAGGTGAGATACTCTTGGTAGCTTGCCGGGTTCTCCAAGAGGAGTGGAGGAATCGAACCCGGCTCGGCCGGGCTGGCTGTGTGCAAGGCAAATGCTCTACCTCTGTGCTATCGCTCCAGCCCAAGAGGGGTGTGTGTGTGTGTGTGTGTGTGTATTTTTTTCCCCCTCTATGATCTGTTGCCTACTGTCTGAACCTCATAAAATATGGTGTGGTAATTATGGAAGATAGGTAGGGAATGTCTTATGATGTGTTGTGCAGCCACGAATGTGAATGTGGCCCTGCAGTCCAGGATTATATATATAGCTGCCTATATATATATTATTTTTGTTTGTTTGTTTGTTTTGAGTGGGGACAGAGAATGGGCACTGGGCTCAGGAGTGCCATGTCCTCCTGTCACTTGGGCCCGGCCTCCTAAGGGCTCATGGCAGCCCCTGGATGTCTGAAACTCAGGACGCACTTTCAAAGGCCTGGAAGTCTCCTGTCTTGGCTGCTGATTGTCAACCGTTTCAGTGACAGAAGGGAGCAGCATTGTTTTTGAAGATGAAGAATTAAGGGTTATGTCTGGTACTTAGCGTTTTGTGGTAACCGTCTTCCTTGCTTGGAGACCGGGCAGGATGCCTTGTTTCCATTCCAACCCACAGAGCAGACACTCGCAGGATCTAGAGTCCCCTCCATCCTTCTGCCCTTGACTGCTGAGGCGAAAGGGAAGATGGGGCAGTACCGGCCGGGGATGTGGTTCTGTGGCCGAGTCCACGCGCCACATGCCCGGGGTCTTGGCTTCCATCCCCAGCACCAAAATGCCAAGTTCAAGACGCCCCTTGCCTGAGTCACTGTCCAACTGGGGACAGACTCTTCCTGTTAGTGTGGAAGTTTCTAGAGCTATTTCCAGAATAGCCGTGGGCATGCTGTGGCCTGGGCTCCTGCCCCAGAACTCAAGGTTGACACAGGGCCCGAAGGGGCTCTGGGGAGCTGAGGCCGGCAGAGAAGGGGCCTGTCCTGTGGCTGAGGGGCCACAATCAGAGAGACAAGTTGAAGGGGTCATCTCCAGCCGCAGGAAGACACGGTCACTTGAAAACGTGCCGTTTCTACACAGCACTCTCCAGCCCCAGGGGTCCACCCAGGGGAAGGCAGGATGCCAAAGAAAAATAAAACTGCTCAGTGAGTTAGAATTTTCCAGATAAACAGGATCCTGGGAAATGTCCTCACCTAATGCAGAGCAGATAAAGGGCATTTAGGATTTATGGTCCTGCCATGGTTATTTTCTCCTCCTTCATTCCTCTCATTGTGATCCTGTGTTTATCCTGAAGAACATCCAGAATATTCTAGCACTCGAGGGTGCTTATGACAAGTTCTGGGACAACAGGACTTTGGCGCTGCCTCTTCTCCTGTCCCCCGCCAGGGCTGGTGGCGGGGGGGATGGTGTGTGGCTGGGGTCCTCTGGAGGCCTGACTGTGAAGGACACCCGAACCCCCACTCCAGTCACTGGCTGCGCTACTGAAGGGGCAGTGGGATTGTACCTACTGCAGCCCTGTCAGCCCTCATGTCACCCTGCCATGCTGCTGGCCTGCTCCTCCCCCAGCCCCCACAGTTACCCACCATCTCGGCTTTAGAATCAGGAACTGTTACTGACCAAGGGCTGAAGAAATAGCTCAGGGGCCAGGGAGAGGCCCTGGTCCCCCTGGCCCCCCACTAAGCACTACAGGGCTCTATCAGCACCAGATAAGCAGACAAGAGGGGGGGAAGAGTGCAGTGACCGAGACTCCCCAGGAGTGGCCCTGCATGCTCTCGGCACCGTGGTGGGAGGCTCCCCCTAAATAATTTTTTTTTTGATTTTTGGGTCACACCTGGTAATGCATAGGGGTTACTCCTGGCTCTGCTCAGGAATTACTCCTGGCGGTGCTCAGGGGACCATATGGGATGCTGGGAATCGAACCCGGGTTTGCCGCGTGCAAGGCAAACACCCTACCTGCTGTGCTATTGCTCCAGCCCCATCCTCCTAAATAATCTTGACTTCAGTTAAAACGAGGTGCTCCATGAGAAAAGGCCTTGAGAGCCTTCCTGGGTCTCCTCGGTCTTGGGCTGGGACTGTGGACGCCAACTCCCCATGGCCTGTTTACTGTTGCTCCGGC